GATTTGCATTCATCACAACAAGTGCTACAATATCAGTTATACGGCTACCTGTTTACGTAGAAGCAAAGGAACATATGCGGGGTAATTACGCCCACATACGAACAAAAAACAGCGGCATGTATTTAACAACCAATTATCTAAGAACTAGCAGAGAGTGAGGCTCATGGTCGTCCAAGCGGTTGAGCGATTCGTGAGAACTCAACGGCTACACTGGCAAATATCACAACCAGTTACTCTGTAAGTGATCGTGGGCTGCTTCCGGATGGGTAACGGCCTGTCTGCATTTCGCGTTGCGAAATGTTTTAGCGCATTACACATCTATTTCATTTCTGGTAGACACTACGTCGGTTAGAAGATGGCTACAAGGTGTACATTTCTTGCTGACATATGATACAATCCTTCGACAGGTTCCAGGTTTAGGATATAAAGAACGATGTAAAAGCATCTAATATCTGAAGTAGTCAATGCTGAGACTGCCGCCAGAGATGCGACACTGATCTCATACCCAAAGCAAGCCAACAGTCCCTGAGCATCACAACGGCTGGCATTGTTAGAACGGTACCTTCTCACTCTTGGTTAACAAGAATTAAATTCCCTGGTCGATTCTCCAAATATTACGCACCGTCCCTTAGTTTCTTCTAACCTAAGGACCCGTCTGAGCAGGACACGGATCCACAGTATCCGGAGAACTGACAGGAGCACGTTATTCTTACGGGCGGTATCGAAAACGAGCAGTTTTCTAGAAAAACCCATAATACAGAGGTTATTCCTGGTTATATAGGCATTAACCAGAGAGAGCATTCATTTTGCTCCCAATACTGCTAGGAGCTAGCCGGATCAGACTCGGTGACACGGTAACACGGTCTCACACGCCTGAAGCGCTTAAATAACATAGAGCTATGACCTGCAAATAAGGTCCCCTATGTGACTCGAAGCACCAGCACGTTACAGTGCTGCCAAGTAACTCGGTTTAATGACGTTCATCAATCTCATCAGCCCTACACAGCGATAGGTCTAAAGTAAAATAATTTCAAAGTAAAGTGCCATCATTCAATACACACCCACCATCCGGATGGTTTACTTATCTTCAAGAAGTTAATATAAGGCATGTAAGGACGGAACACAACGTTTTAACAACCGGCCTGCTTACTTTCTGTGAACCCAAAACGTCATGGCCAGAACACAGTAGTGAAAAAGAGATCAAGAAACGTCTAGGATATCGGATGAAAACATCGCCGGCGAAAGCATCGAGACAGTACAACGTCGTAATGGAAAAGATTACAATTATGTCAGGGTTAGGAATTGGTCTAAAAAATGGAAACAGAGAATATTCTGCTGAAACGTCACAGGCAAAACAACATGATCGAACAGAGTAGCGACGGAAAAGACGTTAAAGGGTGCCCTACATTATAGGATTATGGTGGGCATCCGATACTGAGAATACTAACGACGAAAAACGCTGACGTTAGCGTATACTACTTCAGGGATTCCCACGGCTCTGTGAATATTTTTATCGCATTACTTCAGCTCGACGACGTTTGCTTAATGTTTTCGACAATGACGACCTTCGCTGAAATGAACACTTACATCGCTTTATGCATGTCGCAAAAAATAACAACAGCTATGATTGCTGTCCCCATCTGCTGGGTGTAACACTGTTCTTAATTTACTGATACCGCTGTCCTAGCTAGCGCATTACTGCTTCTACCATATGAAAATTACTTATGTGCTCCTACTCTATCCGTGTTGATTCCTTATTTCATTACCTTTCTCTATAACATGTCTCCAGTGGTAAAAGTGATGAAATCCTTTTCACTGCTTTTCTACTTTCGTTAAACATCTTTGAGAAACAATTAGAAGAATCGTGGCAAAATTTATTTAAAACGTTCATAGGCGATATCAACGCATCAAGACTAATTGACAGAAAGATACGCAAATTTAAGCCATAGACATGTCATGCTGCCAACTACACTGCTAAAGAATATCCATTCAGCAACAAATAAGCTATCAGATCCAGTGTGCATTATCTGAAGCCGACACGATGCATCTCACTGAATTATCATCCTTCGAAAAACTTGGTTACACCACACCACCGATGATGTTACAAAACTTAAAGATTAAGATATGAACAGGTCAGAGTTTGCGATTAAAGGTGTCGACAGGGACGAGTACTAACTGGACTAACAGTGATAAGAGCTGCAGTTATTTAATACGATGGAAATTTTCATTTTTCACATTCATTGTATCGTCGTTCGCTGCAAAAATCATCTATTTCATGCATGCTGTATTAACTGGTATATGCACTGCTCCATCATTTTCAATTTTTTAAAATTTGATAAGTTTTCTGATCATTTTATTTTAGTTACTGTTTCTGTGAAATTGAAAAGCAATTCGGTTATTATTGCTGAAGACTTCAATAGCCATGATACATCATTCGTCACTACGCTGGGAGTGTCCAACGTCGGTAAGTTTCCAACGCGGTTGTAAGAGCAACTGAACTACATTCACACAAACAGCTCACAACCCTGAGCATTTAAGAGGTCCATGCCTGTTCAAACCGCTGTGCCCTTCATCGATAATGAAAGGCTTATAATAATCAGAGTCAACGTAAAATTGCTCTACGAATGTACCGCCTATGCGACGACTTTACACCACAACGGCTGTCGAGCGGTCGCACAACATATTCGAAATCAAACAATTGAACCGCATTCAACGGACTGCAACTGAATAACAAAATCGATGCGATCTGGCTATACACCAACTTCGTCGCCGTCACCTGGTGTTCGTTATAAGTAGTTCATGTTAAGCACAAGTTCGTAACCGAGGCCAACAATAACAGTCTGAGCCGTAAAAACTGAAGAAACCTATCATATCGATGATTTGGTTCTCTGCCAGATTCTTTCTGTGCACATCCAAAAGGAGATGCGGGATATAAACAAGCTGCAACTTGAATCTGTATTAAAGAGATCAATGGGATATAATAAGGAGCCATAGCGTTTGCAAAATATCTGGCGCCATAAACTACCAACGTATAATTTAGACGCATTTAGCTCATCACTGTTGGAATTTGCACATCAGTCTACAGATATTCTGACTTCATTCTGAGCTGTGACAACTTACGTAAACGATCACGCAGCTCAATAAGGAAATTCTGACTTTCGTCGCTGGTTCAACTCTCAAACCATACTGCATTTATAGTCCATACGGAATCCACGCAGACATCGTTGTTTTCTGTAAAATGGAATTTGGTCTTTAGCAGCATTTATGATTGCCTGTGTCACGTAACTGTTCCATATTCCTGGCAACTAGCCAAATCATTTCCATTCCAAAAAAATCACAGAAATCCCAGGCGCAATAATATCTGTAACTGCAAACACTTCTCTCTGCCAAAGTCTCGACGTCTCAATCTGGTCAGAAAACGAAACAAGGGGCAGAACATGACCGAGTCACATCAGTTTGCTCACTGTATACTTAAAACAGTTCAACGCTGAAAGCTTTACCACGTGTTCTGATGTGCTCGAACCATCCTTGGCTATCAGCGGAATGATAGTGAAAGTAGCTGCTTTTATGAACCATTCATCAAAATGTAATCTTGACCCCAGAAACATTTTTCTCGCTCGCTTGCAGGATGCAGGCTTGAGCTCATGTCTACCGCACTGGCTAGAAAACTACATTCCTGACCGGTTACAATATATTACGGTAGGGCAAAGCGCTCGACGATACTAGTGAGCAAACTGGGTATTTTGGGAGTTCCGTGTAGTTTCTTACTCTTCAGTATGTCAGCGACCCCCACACAGTCTATCAAGCACATCTCTGACATGGTAGTCATGTGAGCTCTCAGGAAGGAGAATGAAGAAACCCTTCCAAAGCGCGCTATCTGAAGCTTAAAAATAACTGCCGAAGAACTGTCTCAAGGTAATATTCGATAAATGCGCCGAGATAGTATTAATTATGAATTACACAAAAGATTATGCCTTCTCTCTTTTGCGCAGAGAAACGTTATGACTGACATGACACTTCATTACAAGTTCAATCCAAAAACTATCTTAAAATATATGAACAACCGCTTGAACTGACTGAATTAAGTGACGCTCAAGTTCACTAAACAGACACGACATTGTATTATTTAATAATAAACAGAGGTTAATATAGTCTAACATTTCAGATGACTTGACATATCTTTCGTTGCTTTGATCACAAATGCACTCCATATAAAGTTACATGCTCGTTTCACAATTCATACAATGTACAGTGAGCTATCAAAGAAAGACTAAAGGATACTACGTTGAGAAAATCTACTGATCTCAGTAATCAAAAAAATAAACAGAAGTCAACTTGTTCTTGTTCTCAGAATTGCAAACTTCACAGGGGATAATTTTCTCAAACTTTCCAATCAATTCTAGCAGACTGATTACGCCTTGCAAGAAAAATTTCCATAAACTCATTACATACATTTTAACACTAGAAACAGCCTCTGAACAGTCCCAGCCAGAACCGAACTGGATCGCTGTTACAAAAAATCCCATCGACCAGATGCTTACTGCCAATTTCCAGGTAAAGATATCATAATTATGTTATCTCTGCTTCTTTCGTTTGTACATTAGCTCAGTGCTGATGGGGAAAATTGCTTAGGCTTGTAAACGTCTCTGGTTGTTGATAGCTACACAATGGCACAGGCGAATAAACATGAACTTGAAGGTGAGCAAAGACGCAGGCAACAACATAACAATACACAAACCTTGACCACTGAGTTTAAAATTGATTAAAACTAGACGGTTTATAAACAAACATTTGGCAGCAGGCGCTGAATTTACAACAATAAAAAGTAAACTTACCAGTGCGCTGCAAATGGCCGGCAAAGGTCCAGAGAGAAAGGTAACGACTTTAATTCTTTGAGTCTGACTGAAGCTTCTACATATATAAACAACAACCACAGAGATATCGTCGGTATGCAAACGCCACGATCTAAACCCTGCTGCATCAGAAAGACGCGCTGAAAGTCAGGCGATTGCCGATTTACCTGCATGCCAGACGTACTGCACCCATACGTAGGTGCTCGCTATGAAGAACAACCACTGTACCGGGATGAACACGAAGCAGATCATGTCGGATGTGAATGTAACGCACATGAAAAAAACCGAGAACGCCTGAAATTAATCAAGTAAAACAACACATATAATCACGAAAGAAGACATTCTTAATGACAAAACGGAACCACGATGTCCCGATGAAGCTTTCGATACCGCCGCTGAATATATCACAGCAAAAATAACGATATCGGATTGAAACAGTGAATGCACAGTGTAAAGAAACATCAATTTCTCACTTTACACCAGCAGCTATATTACCTTTAAATACCATGGAACCGTGGCCAGCATAAATGGCCCCCCTAGGCGTCTAGAAGCAAGGATGCGCTACAACAGAGCTGCTGGCGTAAAGTGAGAAATTGAGTTTTCTTTCTTTACACTGCACATTCGCCGTTTCAATCCGGTATCATTATTTTACTGTTAAGACATTCTGAAGTTGGCATATTTCATGACGCGCATGATATTAAGATTGCGCAAAGGGGCATATGAATGAATCAACAACGGGGCAAAACACTGCACATAACAGATTTAAAGAAACACTCGTATGAAGCTCTGCATGTATCGAATATGAAATCGACGAAATGATTATCCATTACCAACCGCGCATGATACCCGTTATGACAGGAGCGGTGATGGATGATAGCGACGTCAACGTGGTCTATAATACGCGAGCCTGTTCTGTACATCGTGATGTTTACCTGTCCTATAGTCTGTCTGGATCGCCACCTGGAAGGCAACAGCTGGACTCTACTGCGACTGCTTGCAACCACTGGCAAAGCACTGCGAGAAAGAAGCTACGTTCGTAGACTCGCCGCCTGGTCAAAATAGTTAATGCTGTGAGAAATATGCAGATGCAGAGGCGGCCAGTTTAAAGCCATGCCATATGACGCAGAGTGTAGAAAACTTGCACAACTGCCCGGATTTCGGTACCCAAAGGCGTTATCAATGACTTTCAGACCAACACAAATTAGACGTACTGTTTCCTTTTGACGTTGTAACACCAATGTTAATATACTGGGATGAAAAAAGATAAGTGATCCAGTCAGGATCACCTTCCTTGATCTCTCAACTGCAAATGTAGTGTTCTATGTACTAAGCTAGTCAAGCAGGAAAGTTTCAGCCCTTTCTGTATTCGCAATTCTGAAAGCTACCGACTCCGCCTTTGTAGCGTGCAGAATTAGGATCGAGACAGCAGCATCTGCAAAATACCGATACACTGCAATAGAACGCTCGAAGGGCAACACATCATGCGTGGTCGCTTGGCGAGACCTGATGACACAACATCTCAAGTTTGCAGCGTCTCAACGAGTACGTGAATATAGACGATTGGGCTGCCCCCCAACCAGAATCGATATCTTTGCTTTCAGCCATCAGATCATCGGGCGTAACGTAAATCAGGTATCACTGAAAGCTGAAATAATGACTGCGAAAAAGTCTAGAGAAGCAGAAACAGAACAGAGGATTTACTGACTTTGAACAACATTCATAACTATCGTTCATTAGCTTGGTGGTCAACCAAATTTCAAAAATTTCTTAACACGTTTTTTTTCATTTGGTTCAGTGTTTTAAAGAGTTCGAGAACTGAATAAAATTCATCTACTTCTTATCCCGCAGCATCGAAGACTGATAATTATTTTAATTTCGATGTTTCACATTTCATCCTGGGGCGTATCCAGATAGAAGGTGGAGGAAACTGCAACAGAATGCTCTGAACCAGCAGCACCAATTTTTGCAACCAACTGAAACAGACTGCAGCTGATCGGTTCTGCCTTAAGCAAAAGTATTCTGGTAGACCTCACTCGTGCAGAAACGTAGTCTATAAGTGCACCAAAGTATCTGGAAACCAGCATTTTCCAGAATTGAAGGTATGCCTTTTTAGGGTACGTAATTGGAAGCAGTAAAAAAAGATCGACGAATCGCATCCACAAAACGTCTAGAAGATCTACATCTAAAAGTTGTTGTAGGCAGTGGAAAACGTGTCATATTTTCTGGAAGATTTCTAGGACATCTAGCGACCATTTCAAATCATTGCTAAATAATATTCATAGATATATGATCTGCTGCGATTTCTTTCAACAATTATGGCAGATTTGACTCTATCAGTGAGTTATTGATTACCCGTACGACGCAAAATGAAAACACCTTGAAACGAATTCGAGATATTCAGCAGTAACCATGCATTAGCATACAACATTCCAACTCTAAGATATACTGTGTGATATTGTCCCAAATCAGTATATGGTCAACTAAAGCGCGCAACCAACGTACAGAAGGCATAACTGCCGCGGATCGTTCGACCACTGTTAAGAGATGAGTTCGCATAAATATGAAAAAACCGATCAGAAGGACAGAATCTGCAATACTTAAACGTGGTTATCATTCATCGTTGAGGTAGATTTATCAACTCTTACATACAGCTTCAGAAATGGAACAGAAAACTAAGGGTTCGATGTCACCTACGTAATTTAAAACTCTCAAGAACGTTTCAAACGTGTATAAAACGTTAAGTTACGGAATCATGTAACAATTCTACGCCATATTTTAACGTTTCAGAATCCCTGCCATATGTTAACACTCAATGAATGCTGTTGACGCTGGAACCAGAATGAAAAAGCAGCGTTTTATCTGAGACAAATTTGCTTAATTTACTAATGTTAAGGCTACCTATTTTCAAGTGTATCAGAGTAACCGAGAAGATGCATGCAAGTTGCGAGTGGGAATGTGTGTGTGTGTGTGTTTGTTAAGATTATGTTTAGCCGTTTGCACCAGTAGAATATCTCTGGTTTGTTATATTCGTTGCTTTCGCAGCTTTTACAACACATTTGCTAGAAGGCACCAGTAACTGCATCATTAGAGGAACTACTCCTTTCTGAGAAACAGATCTCGCTTTACCTAAAGCGTTGATCTTTCACGCTTTCTCGTGTGCTTGGTCAGTTACCCTTACATATAGATATAAGTGATGGATAATGATTGCAGTGCATAATAAAAGCAGCGGAAATTACATTCCTTTTGATGACTGTCGGTGACGGAACAGGAGAACAAAAACAGACAACAGCGTTGTCATCGCTATATAGGCAGTCGATAACTGTGGCGGTTGTACAATCAGAATATCAGAAGTATGTCGTAATCATACTTTCTACGAAAAGTTAAACGAAGCTGACAAAGGCAGGCTAAGAGCCAGATAGCTCGAATCTATCGAAACGCGCCTATTAATGGAGTTTGCCTTACTTATCTTTAAATGACTAGACAAACCTGCCCAATCCTTTACCGGAACCGCGAATGAAAAAAGTAGCGAGATGTTGAAAAGAATGGGGGAGAAATTAACAATTTCTACGTAAGAACTAACACTGCATTGGTAACCTACGAAGGCGCGAACTCTGAACTGTTCTTCGTACTGGCAAAAAAGAATATCATGGTTTTAACACGTCAGTCCATTGCACCTTTAGCTGCAGTCAGCGACGATGTCTAAAGGTAAGGAAAATCGTAGCTCCTTTAGGATAGTCGACTTGATGAATTTTACGACATCAGGAGTACATAGTGACAATAACACAGCATAAACAAAAAATCAGAGCAGCTCACCATTCCTTTGTATCTGCAAGAATCGTAAATGCTGCGCAGCAGCAACCAGAATGGCCATAAATATTCAAATCTGAACTCCAAAATAAAGTCAGCCATAATCACCAACGCCCATACAAGCAGCAGTTTGAGATAAATGAAGCTGCTAAAGATGAGTAATTTGAAACGGCACACATCGCAACAAACATAGACATACCTTCCACAAGCACTCTCCGACATTTTGTTCTTCTTCAGAGTTCTTCTTAACTTTGCGCTGTCGATGTTTCGTCGCTTCATACTGACAGCCGTCTGAAGAGAACGTCAAGAGCAAGCGACAGTACAACAAAGCGACGGGAATCAATCACTTTCAAACACCTGTTACACCGCACAATCGCCCGAGAAATTAAGCAACGTTTCAAAAGCGCACTGTAAGGCTCTTTCTCTTGACCAAACCTAACAAACACAAAAGAACGGCTGTGAGAAAGCCGTGCACCAAGCGCAACAATGCACTTGCTAAGATGAAAAATATACGTGGGAAATGTGACCTAGCTGTAATTAACGCAGAACGATGACCAGCTTTAAATCTGCAGCCGAAGGAAAATCTTGCAAAGATTTTTGCATCGGTTTGTTTGCACGACAAAAATAGAACAATGATAAAGTACGTTTATGAAACTAACAACACCGACTGCAAGAGAGGGAGAAGAATAACCGCAAGTATGGCGCTTTACACCATGCGGTTCTATTCCTGATGTTTGCATGCAGCATATAAGCTGTCATCAAAGACATTTGGCCATATTCACAAAGCATTTTGAAGCAAAACTCATTCCGTGGATAAAAGAGGCAGTCAAAACTCACACCGAGCAGTTTTAAAGACCCACACGACGTACAGCTGACAACCAAGCAAGAAACAGTCACAATTTGCTGATAAAACGAATATTTTCGAATGTTAAGTTTCATTCTGACAGGCTGTAGTTCTGACAGCAGAAAGTAAGTGCTCCAAGAATTGTAAAAAAGCTAACTTTCGTTAAATGGCAATAAATGCCTCCCAATTTATACAGAAATGCCGCGCAGAGGATCAAATGAGACGCCAAAACTACTGCAGATTGAACGATGGTCTGACCACTAAAAATATGAACTTTAAGACGCATTCTTAAGTAACAAGCTCCCGAATAGACGGTCATCCTGAACTTACGAAGAAACAAAAATATACCCACAACTCCAAACGAAATCTTTAAGCAATAAGTCGAAAGGGCCAGTAATGCTCAAAGCAGCAAAGAAAACGAATTTCTGCTGTGGCACGACATGCAAGACAAAAAATAGAGAAAGCGTTTAGCTATAGCAAAAATTTCAACATTAGAACCGTTTTGAATTCGCTGTAAAACATACCAAATAGCACAGATATTTGCAACAAATTCATGCCTCTATGCAACAAGAATACTTTAACGAGGGGACAAGTCCTGCAAACTGTTTGTTACAGTAAACCTACAGTATCATGTCGAAGATGTAATTTCGTAACAAATCTGAAAACAGCTTTGGCATTTCCATTGAGATTATTCATTTATGGAAAGGTATTGATTGAAAATAATTTAAAAATGTCTGCAATATTAGCTGAATATCTGTAACAACTCTTAATTTCAATTTTCTTTAATAGCAGGTTGCAAACTGCGATACTGTTTAAAGCAACAAAATCTTATGTAAATGAACATATGCACGGAAATGGAATTTCACAGAGACTTTATTAAAATTAAAATTAAATCGACGAATTTACATTCTGTTTTCAGTGCGTCGCAAAGAAATATAAGAAGCTTGCTATATGAAAATAGTGCTGTAGTACAGTGTCAATACATTTCTCTGATGTTACTAAGATTATAGTTTATGCTGCGCAGCATCAGCTCATCAGGTTTGGTTTAAAGTCGAGAAAAAATAGAATAATCGCCTCAAATACCTTTCAAAGACTGAATCAGTGTACTGAATAAATTTTTCGAGCGTTAGAGCCAAATCCGCCGTCACCATCAGCTCGTGCCCCGCCAGCACGTTTTGCACCGATACGTTTCTCACCAGCTCCTCATGACCAATTTACGAGAGCACAATTTTTAACAGGGACTACACAGTCCGTT